GAGGCGGGGGCCTGGGTCTCCTGCGTGAGAGAAACAGCAGCTATGAAGCAAAAGCAGAGGTGTGAATAGCGTTGTGCGTTGTCCTGCTTTATCTTTTCAGTACGTATGTCTCGTTACTAACTTACACGTGCTGCGTCAGGCTTTGGGCTGGTCTAATAAAGTGAGTTTTACTACTTTCAAAGTGAGTTATGCATCACACGTTGAATTAACAAAGATTTCTCTCTCAGGTATTGAGAGAGAGGAAGCAGATTTGTATCGGGGACAATCTTTCCATAACTTTATCCTCGGTCCTGTATCTAGTAGTATATCCTGAATAGTGAAATGTCCTCAAAGAAGAAAATGAAGAGAAATCATCCTGGAAATAAATTGAAGGTAAGTTTTGCTCGTTTGAGCAGAATTAAACCAGCAAGTGTGTTGTTTTACTGTGCGTTTGTGGCATCGGCGCTGGAGGTGGCTGGGCAGGCGTTAAGGCGGGGCTTTGTTGGGAGCTGTGCTGCGCAGTCCCGGCTGGTGCAGGTTTGGGGTGCGTGGGTTTTTTCTTTTTCTATATTTTTTTCTTTCAGGAGTAGTACATCATCAGGAAAAATGGGCCATTGACTTTCAAACAGGCAAAAGTTTGAAAACAGTCCTGTAAAATTAAAGAGAACAGCTTAAAGAGGAAATAGCTGATATGTCTTGTATTTGGTACCATAGCAAAACTTGTGAGGCGCTGCGAAGTGCTAGTAAAATTAAAAGCTCAGGAAGTTGGTGTTTTCTTCTTGTAATTCCCTTTCCATGCACACACAGAAATGAGTGAGGAAATTTACTCTCACACTTAGGGTGTGAATGACACGTTTACAAGTATTTCATAAACTAGTGCCATTCTGCCCTACCTTTCTGCTTTACAGAAGTGTCTGTTTAATGCCTGACTTATAAATTCCACCTTTTATACAAAGTTGCGCATAGCTTTTCATTTTTTTTAAAGTGAGAATCATTAAATTGGTCAAGGATGGACATTCATGTAATACAGAGATGAAAGAAGAAATATTTTAATGCCAGAAAAGAAAAAGGCCACAGATCATAGAAAACATAGATATTAGACTGTTATAAGATTTCTAAGCTTACACACTTAGTTTTATAAAATAAGACAAAGGTACAGTATAGTATCAAATAGCAGAATATATCAGTTTTATACTATCATTTCTCTTAGGAAAAAAAAAAACCTGAGGAAAAAACGCATGCTTCAAATACTTCATGTCATAGCTCAGTAGTCAATATGGTCCAGGTTAAATGTATTTCTAGTCAAACGTTCTTGAAATTCATTGTCATATTTAATCTGTTTTACACTCAAAAAGCTGGATGAACTAGTTATTAATGTCATGCCCATCCAGGCACACAAAGCCAACACCCATCCTCGCTGGAAATTGCTTCCACTTGAGGAACCAGATGTCTCAAGGATATTGAAGGTAACGGAAGCAAATGAACTTGAGGAGCTTGACGATTCATTTGGTTAGTATTAACTTCAAAGTCATTTCATGTATGATTTTCATGAACAAACCATACGGGCGAAATATTTCAATGCTTACTTAGGAAAAGGTATTGTTTTTTTGCCAACTTGAGGAGCTTGACGATTCATTTGGTTAGTATTAACTTCAAAGTCATTTCATGTATGATTTTCATAAACAAACCATACGGGCTTACTTAGGAAAAGGTATTGGTTTTTTGCCAGAGAAAATTATGGGCAGGAGAGACAGAGGGCTTTTTGAGAGTGGTGTTATTTTCTGTCATTTAGGATGTAACAAGAATAATGCTGTAATATGTGCAAATAAAAGTTAATAGGAAAATACTGGCTATTCAAGTTCTATAGCCTGGTAGAATTTCACACAATATAACACTGCAATTGTGTAAAAGTTCGCATTTTAAAAGGAAAGTTCAATATCTTAAGTTACTCTCTATCAAATTACACAAATTAAGTAGTGAAATTTTTTGCTATTGTAAGAGTACGCATGGCAGCAAACTTAGATGTTCACAGGGATGTTGTTCTACTTAAAAAGTAACATCATAAAAACATACTATTTTTGGTGCGACATTAAAACCACTTTCATGCTCTGTATGGGATTTGTGCAATGAGGCCTCAGTATGCTGGAAGAGAATCAGTTTAGATGGAAAATGTGCCCCTCTGTGAAGTTTTCTGTTATTAAATATATATAGCTCTCATATGTCAATGTTGGTAAGAAAAATCTTTGAGAAACTGTCCAATTAGAAGTTGTAGAGAAAATGCTAAGAGCTGTTTCTCAGCTGTAATATTTATTACTCTAAGAAGATAATGGAAATATACATGTAACTACTAGAAACAGAGTTGAAAATGACTTATAAAAAACAATATAGTAAAAGGGTTGTCATAAGGGAAAGTCTGCAAAATGAAAAGTTCTTCTTTTCCTCACTTCTGTGGTATGTGTTAAAAACTATAAAAAGGATGCCCACTAACACTAATGTAAGCCAGCACTAAATTTTTGTGTCAATGTGCTTGAAAAAAGAAATAAATACTATGGAAGGCAGGCTAAAACCTTAAGGTTCTCAGAGTTTTAATCTATTCTGGTAGCTAACTTCAAGAATTTTACATTTACAAACTTTCTGTAGCAGCTGTAACTGTCTCCTTATAGCATCCAATAAAGCAGCTAAAAATCCATATTTAAAAAAAAAAAGCTAAAATTTAGAAAGCAGTTGTTTAAATGTATGGAAGATTGACGTATGCCATAGCAAAGAGAGATTTTAAATAAACTGTACAAAATGTTTTGCTTGCTATATGCCATACGTATGTGCTGACCTGAGCTTTCATGCACCTTTAGTTTCAGTTTGTAAAGAAATAGCGGGTGGATGAGTATAGAAACTATGGAGCTTTTTACTATATATATTTTTCCTAATCCTCAAATAATACTTTTAACAAGACTTCCTTTGTGTTAGTGAGGAAACCACAATTCTAACTAAATGCTGAATGGCAGGCAGTGCTAGCATGTCCCTGCTCTTTGCCTGAACAGGTGGGAACAATTTTCACATGGCTTATTTTTTGTTCTTTATAGATCACCCTTTGCACAGCACTGCTGTGGATGCTTATGGAGAGGAACACTCACAGAATGAGTCACTTGGTCATGTTTCAGCTCCACAAAGGAAAAATACAGAAAAAAGGTCTGGTGAAATATAATTGCCAGCATTTAATTTAATCTTTAGATTTTTAGATTAAATGGGAAAAATGTTCTGTTTGTCAGGTTTCCCTGGTTGCTTATAAACAGATGCTTTAACTTAAAATTTCCCAGATGAAGAACCAAAAGAATAAGTAATAGGGGAATGCAGAAAAGAAATGGGAGAATAAATTAGTGTGTGCCTTTTGCAAGTAGTACATTGATTTGCGTACTTACTGTATTATTTTTCAAATTAAAAGATTTTAAAATATCTCTGTTAAATTAAAATATTAATTTAAAATATTAATTAGTCCTCTAAATGATGGTGTCTTTAAAGTTAAGAAATCAAAAAAATGAAAAATAGGTAAAAGCCAGTTAAATTATATGTAACAAAGAAAATTAATTTTAAAAAATCTTTTAATACAAGTTTTAGTATGCTTCTCATTTGTTAAATCAGCTTTGGTTTTAATCTGAAATAGTTCTTATTTGAATGAAATAGCAAGACAATAATAGAGCTTGTATGAGAGTGTGGGGTTTTTTTTTTTTTTGATTTCTACTCCCGCCCTGCCACCAAGAAAGCCGCCTCCTTTCCTGCTAAAATATCCTCAATAATAATTTTGTTTCTGTTTTGAAGTTTCTCCTCAAGACAACATGCCTATCCCAGTGTTCAGTTAGTAATGGATTTCTAATTGTCGCAAGGGTTGCTGTTGAGGGATAAAGATTCTATTCCTTTTATAAGCCTTTGGCAAGTTTTTATGTAGTTGATTTAGGAGACACAAACTGCATGACATAGCAATACAAAATGCTCCCCAAAACATAAGATTTTGTTGTTTATATGGTTGAAGATGATTCTTTCTCAGTGTCTAGTGGGTTTACATGTGGATATTTCTCTTTTCCTAGTAAAAGACTGCATTGCTCGAAAACATCTGATGGTGATGTTCAGAAATTCAGCACAGCTGATCCTGAAGATGAACCCCTTAAGGAGAATCTGGTACGGAGGAAGTTGCATGAGTGTGTCAGTCAATCTAATTTTAACTTCATGCCATGCCTGCATCAGAGAGGAGGGGAGAGCAGGACCTTTCCTTTGTTTCTTAGTACTTCCTTCGTACTTAATTGTGTCCCAAATAATTAATCCTCAAAGTATTCCTGTGAGATGGCCAAGTGAAATGCTTAAAGCTACAGTCATCATGTCAATGGGGAATATTATAGCCGGGTGTTCCCGTGTCCTGTAGCCCATTCTCTTGCTCATTTGGGAATATGTTCTTTTCTTCTTTCAAATATCTTCTTTATATCTGGAATATATGTTTTTAAAGAATGGCATACTAAATGGAATATAAATCCCTCGTACTTGTTCAATATTGAAGTAAAAACATATTTATGAGAGAACTGAATTTTTCATTGATAAAATTAGTTTTGAATATATATTAGAATTAGACAAAAACCACTTGGTTTTGAATGAGTGTTTTTCCACACTTAGACTGCAATTAGTGTAAAATGCTTTTGGCCCATTTAGCTTCCAGGCGTACAGAGGAAGAGTTAACTACCTGCAGACTTGAGAAAGTAGGCCTTTGATAAAAGAAGATATGCAGTAGTTTGCATAAAAGTTTTTTACATATTGAAATTCATTGGAATTGTTGAAAATCCTTTTGTAAAATTTGGTACAGAGTGGTAGCGTCTCATCAGTAAACTGCATGTATGCAGCACTCTTGTAGAATTACTACTTTGTGTTGGTGTCACAAAGTAGGGAGGGAAAGAATTGGGACAGAACGTGGGTGAAAAGGCAGGTAAGGAGGCACTGTTGATCAGAGAACTGTTAATACTGGGCGATGACTATGCTGAACTGAGGGGCCCTATGCTTCTTAAAATGTTCCTCCTGCATGGCCAGTGGCAGCATGTCAGTCGGTCAGTGCAGTCAGGCAGCTGCTGTCCCTCAGCAGTGTGATCACTGTGCTGTGATTCTGGCGAAATATCCCTAAGTAAATCTTACTGATGTTTCAGTTGTGAAAAGCTGAAATACTTTTGTGTGTTCTGCCATCTCTCAGAATTTTAAATGAGTAAACCTAGAGGGTTTTTTGAAGTTAATCTGCTTTTTATATCACAGAAGGCTCTGAATACTCCTCAATGCCAGGCAAAAAAGAAGCAGCGGCCTTCAGAGAACACATCAGATCCTTCTGGTAAAGTAGACTTTTCAAAACTCCCGTATGGCTTTTCCTCATTCAAGATGAGTGCTTTTCCATAACTCAATGGTTTTAATTTCTGATACGTAGCAGCATACTGCTTCTAGAAATGAGAGGTTTTAGTTTCAGTTTTGGTCTAGACACTCATTAGCAGTGGTTAAATTGAGGAGCTGGTGCACCACACAGCTCTGATCCCCATTGTTTGCATCCCTGGACTTGCCTATTACTCCCCTGAAGGGGTAGAGCATGGGTGTGCATTATCCCTCGCACGCAGCCCGGTTCCCTTTGGAGGGAAGCCTGGGTCCGTGGGTATGGAGCTGTAAGACACTTCAGTATGTCCCTTGGCCTGGAAGCCTGGAGCACCAGGCTGTGGGACAGAGCTTGGAGCGCCCCTGACTTACAGTGTAGGCACAGCTGGTAGTGTAAAGGCCTTTGAGATAAGGAGCTTCAAGACAGTGGCATTTTTTGGTATAGAGAAACCGTTTCTCGGGTGTCATCTTGCTTCCTTTGAACTGTACCCCGTCACATTCAAGCACTAGATTTACATTTGGGAGTGTGTGAAGAAACATGGTTTAAGGTTTTGTGGAATTAGCTAGTAATACTATTGCAAAGTTTAAAGAAACATACTTGTATATAGCTTTTTTTGAAGCATATATGGTATTAATACAAAATGTATACAAATATGATATAAAAACTCATGATTCTTTGAGTAATGCAGGTTGCCCAAACTCAGGCTAACAGTTTTTACAGCACAAACAGCTATATCTAGAGTACACCGTATAGATTATCAATTAGTGTAATAATGTGCTCCTGGACTTGTTTGAAATGATGAATAAAAAATAAGTTGTATATAACTGATCATCCAAATTCCAAAGTGTTCCCAGATAAGTCTATCATAGTTGCTCAGGCAAACACAGATGAAATAATTCATGTTTCCCTCTTTTCAAGTTTCATAGTAAAATATTCATAACTTTTAGATGGTTATTTTAATGGTGGGCACAATAACTTTTCTATTATTTTAGAACATGTACATGGATTGTACAATGCTTATCTTTATTCTGTTGTTTCAGTGGATAGCCCATGTTCTGTACAGGTTTGGTGTCCTAAAGAGCTGAAGAGATCTTCCAGAGATATTACAGAACTGGATGTTGTTCTGGCTGAATTTGAGAAGATAGCAGCAAATTACAGGTAAATATTCTGCTTTTCTATGGCTGAATACTCAAAGTTTTAAAAACAAATCACCTGTGGTTTTGTTAATGGGCTGTCCTTTAGGGAATGCAGTATTGCATGGTTACATTCTGGTGTTATTTTAATGATTATTAGGTTTCTGTGATACAAATATTTTTCGTGTGTGATCTTGAGGTGGTCTCCAGGAATTTTTCCAAATATTTTTCCAAACGTAAGAACAACACATCTCAGCTGATGTTTTTCAAAGTTGCCTGTGCTACTAGCTGCTTAACGTTGGGTTTTATTCACTACTCAAAGGAATGTTTTTGGGTGAGATTTCTCCTTTACTAAACCAAATGGATTGTGTTTTATCCCTCTGACTTCTCCAGACAACGCATAGAATCAAATCTTTGCAGAAAAGCTATCAATGGCTTCTGTTCTGCTTTCAAGGACCAAATCACTGATCTTGTAAGTACACCATAAATAAAATCAATTTTGTGATTATAGAGCTGTATATTACATTGTAGTCAAAATGCCTATGGTTTTATATTGTCCTTTACAGATTTATTTTATGATACTTTAAATTTTCTAATCTCTTGTCAGGATAAGTCATATGAAAACAGTTTGTTGTGTGCAGCCCCTGTGCTGGCTTTCATGAGAATTGTCTTTAGACACAACACTGCTGACATGAAAGTACGTTGCAAAATTGTCAGCTTTTGAGAATAGGGAAACATTAATATTTGTCATATCTAAAGCATTATGTAGTAAAACTGGAGAGCTGCATAATTTGAATGAGTGAACAGTTATGTAAAACACTTTCAAAAGATCATGGACTAGAGTTTTAAAAGGTTGATGATTTAATCTTTATACTGCGTCTCAGTGACTCTTGTGTAGAGGCCTTTAACATAGTTCAGGAAAAATCATCCTTTTTTAATTAACAGTTTGAGCCTAACTGTAAACAGCTTATTAGCTTGGAAGACTAAGATTTCTTGTCACTAATTACAACGGGTAAAATAAACTCAGAACTTTGTAGGAGTTGTGATAAGTACAGTGGATAAGTACTAAAACTATAGTTCTAAGTGATTCATTAGAATGGACAAGTCTTAAAATGACTAGATTTTTACATTTTATATAAAGTTATATAAAAATTAAGCTAGGTAGTATTACACTAATTGGTACAAGAAGTATTACTTGCACTAACTGGTGCAAGGTGACTAATTTTGTGCAGCAGTCTTCCTCTGGCATGAGGAGAGAGGAAAGAATTGATACACAACTGATAAACTTGTAATCTTCCTTTGAACCAGTGTTGTTTTTTTTTAAATAGCTTTTTATGTTATTTCAAAGTAATTCTTGCAACCGCATTTTTAGGAGGATAGAGATGAAATCAAGATCCATAGTCAATCTTGTAATTCTTCTTTTCCTCTGTAGATGGTGGAAGTCCAGGAATTAAAGAATATGAAGAAAAAAAATGCTAAGGTAAATACATACATATCACTAGATTGTACAGCATACAGAAGTGGGCATTGAAGTTTCAAGAAGTTGATCAGAAGAAATAAAATAATTCACAAAAAAGTGTACTGTACTACAGAATCAACTGCACAAATAGAGGATAGGGAACCACCAGAGGTTTTTTGGAAAAGATCTGAGTAAATATGATTGATCGCAAACTCCATACGTATACTGCTATACTGGTGTAAAAAGAAGGAGTGCACATTAGGATGTGTAGATACCTATGCATGTGAATTACTCCTTTTTTTTAATGAGCACTGGTGAGGCATCTGGAGAGCCAATTAAATATTGAGAGCTAACCTTTAAGAAACATAGATGAATATAAAATCTAGAAGACCAGCAAAGATGGTGACCCATGAGGATAGAATTGGATTGCTTAGTTTAAAGGAGAGAAGTCTAAGGGAGCTGCATTCCCTAAATATATGCAAAATTTTTGTTCAGAGGAAGGCAGTTCCTCTGTTTATTCAGAGTGAGTAGTTGACTGAAAATGCAACAGGGGAGTGTTGATGGGAGGAGGACATAGTGTAAGAGCAGAAAAACACTGCAGTGGTTTCATCAGGAGAGAGGTGAATGCCCTACAGCAGAGATATTTAAGAGCAGGTTAGGCACTGTCTGCCAGAGGCTTTCTGCCCAGATTAACCTCTTCCGCAAACTTTTCGATGACAAAATAGCTTTTAATAAGTAAAGTCAACAGAAACCTTATTCTGGGAGGTAGCAATTAATGTGCTGAAGTCTTGTTAATTTGAGGTGATATGGTAAGCTACTCTGCATGTAAAATGAAAATTTTAATACACATCTAGCATTCACAGCAACTCAGAGTTATCCTTATTTTGCCTCTTTTTTTTTAAATCAGATTTCTTTGAAATCAGATTTGTAGGTGCTAAATTTAAATTTATTATTAGTTTTGGTTTTTGTTTTTTTTTTTTAAATCGGATGTTGTATTAAAGGAAGCTTATTTATGCTTAGTTCTTTAGTTATGGCAATCATACCGAACATACATCTGTATTTGTCTGCATTTTTAAACCAGAAGCAAACAAAAACCTGTTAGAGTTGATCATGTTTGAGTTCAAAATGTCACAAACTCCTTCTGTATGCTTGTAAATCCAGTATTCCTTGAGAGAAATTTTGCATGGAGATGAGAGTTTGATATTTTAAAGAGCTTTAAAGTGTTTAAAATACAAATGTAAAATATGGCAGTTTATAAGATCTGGTATCTTGGAATCATCCACACCCAGAATCAGAAGCATAAAACCTCAAAGAAAAAAAGCTGATGAAATTTGAGTTGTTTGCCTTTGAAGTTACAGAAACTGTTTCAAAGACTTTCCTCACTATTTTTTTCAGGTAATAACAGACATCAAAAAGAAAAGGCAGCGACTATTGCAACTCCGAGAAGAGCTAATTGGGTATGTTTCTAATGATGCACAATAATAGCCTAATGTTACTGTTGGGATTGCAAAGGTGATGAATCTAAATTTACAAAGGCAATACAGAGGGCTTTTTTGGGTTTGAGGCAGGAGAATGTATTTCACTTCTGCAATTTGGCAGGGATGCCTCTGAGTACATGGTTTGCTGGCTTCCAACTCATGTGGCCGCACAATTCCCCTTCGGTAACTTGGCATTAATCTTTAAGTATCATTTAGGTACACAACACAGAAGTGATGTTCTTTGGAAGAACCATTGGACTTCCCCAAATCCAGTTGGTTACTAGTGACAAGCTTTATGCTGAAGCTCTGTGTAACACAGATGCTGTAAGTTAACTCTGTAGGGAACCACGGGCTTGGATTCACAAAGGCAGATTAAAAACCCTTTCTCGATCGCCATGAGAGTCTTGTTTTCTTTGCAGTATTACGGACAAACCACTCAAAGAACTAATTAAAGGCATCCCTCAATATGGGTTTGAACCCCCTTACAGATTGAAAGCTGTCTTCACATTTTTTATTTGTTGTGTTTTAATCCTTTGAGCATCTTAAGCAAGCTTTTTTGCTACAACACTGTTAAATGAAAATGGCAGTTGGTATTCATTTTTCAGAGTGCTAATTTAACAGATTGAGCCCTCCAGTTTACTTAGGCAGAGATGTATCTACTTTGTAGACCCTGAGTATGCTTCAGCATAGGCACTGAACACCTCAGCCTGCAAGCAGATGTGTGCAGAAGCAGAACACCGGGTACTTAAGAAACTTCACTTGAAAAACTTAAGCGCGCTTAAGAGAGAGTGACTATTTCGTCAGACTCAAAAGTGAGATGTGGAAAAAAGTTTGGGGTTTTTTTGTGGATTTGGACCTGTGCTCCTGTTTAAATAATATGCTAGTTATTCTAATTTAACAGTATGTTATACTAACCTATGCTTTGTATTTCTGACCAACCTTTCCCTTAAGTCTTCTTCAGAGGAAATATGTTCATAGTACTCATGAAATAAATATGGAGATACAGTCACCAAAGCCTTGATCTTTTTCAGAGCTGAACCACAACTGATACAACTACAAAGAGAATATGCCGAGATACAGGAAAGGAAATCTTCCTTGAGGCAGGCAACTGAATTACTTACTGATTTAAAGGAGCTACAGCAAGACTATTTGGATTATAGAGAAGAAAACCCAAAAGAAAAAGTGGTAGTAAGTACATATTTTGTGTGTGTTTCTGAACTATTCTGGATCAGCCCCTCCCCCCCTTTTTTTTCCCCTGGACTAATGGGCATTTCTATTAATGTTTAACTTACATTGAATAGCAGTATCTTGTTAATTGTCTTTGTGGAAGCAACTTGAGATTAACAGTGGGAAAC